CGTTTGGTAAATTTGGACAATGGTTTGTCTATCTTGTTGATTTTCTCAAAGAACCAACTCTTCATTGCATTGATTCTTTGTATTGTTTCCTAGTTTCTACTTTACTGATTTAAGCCCTCAGTTTGATTATTTCCTGGCATCTACTCCTCCTGGGTGAGTTTGCTTCTTTGTGTTCTAGAGCTTTCAGTTGTGCTGTTAATTCTCTAGTGTAACTATTCTCCAATTTCTTCATGTTGGCACTTAGTTCTATGAACTTTCCTCTTAAAACTGCTTTCAAAGTGTCCATAAGTTTGGATATGTTGTGTCTTCATTCTCATTGAATTCTAGGACGTCTTTAATTTCTTTTTTTATTTCTTATTTGACCCAGGAATAGTGCAATTGTGCATTATTCAATTTCCATGAGTTTGTAGGGTTTCTGCAATTTGTGTTGTTGTTGAATTCTAATTTTAACACATGGTGGTCTGATAAGATGCATGGAGATATTCCAATTATTTGTACCTATTGAGGTTTGATAAGTTGCCAAGTATGTGGTCGATTTTTGAGAAGGTTCCATGTGGTGCTCAGAAGAAGGTATATTCTTTTTTATTTGGATGGAATGTTCTATAGATGTATGTTAATCCCAGTTGGGTCATAACTTCTATTAGCCCCTTTGCTCCTTTGTTAAGTTTCTGTCTGGTATTCCTATCTAGTGGTGAGATTGGGATGTTGAAGTCTCCCACTATAAGTGTGTGGGGCTTTATATGTGATTTAAGTTTTAGTAATGTTTCTTTTATGAACATGGATGTCTTTGTATTTGGGGCATAGATGTTCAGAATTGAAACTTCATCTTGGTAGATTTCTCCTGTGATGAGTATATAATGACCTCCTTCATCACTTTTGATTGATTTTATTTTAAAGTCTAATTTGTTAGATATTAGTATTGCTACCTCCGCTTGTTTCTTGGGTCCATTTGATTGGAAAATCTTTTCCCAACCTTTAACTCTGAGGTAATGTCTGTCTTTGAGGCTGACATGTGTTTCTTGTATGCAGCAGAAGGATAGGTTCTGTCTTCAAATCCATTCTGTTAGCCTGTGTCTTTTTATGGGCAAGTTAAGAATTAATATTGAGGGATTTTAATGACCATTGATTGCTCATTATTCTTTGATTTGGAATGGTTGGTGGTAGTGGAGTTATGTGTGGAATTCCACCTCTTTATTCTTTTGGCTGTTGGTAAGGTGGTATTATCTAATGCCTATGTTTTTCTGGGTGTAGTTAACTTCCTTGGGTTGGAGTTTTCCTTCCAGAACTATATGTAGGGCTGGGTTAGTGGATACATATTGCTTGAATCTAGTTTTGTCATGGAATATCTTGTTTTCTCCATCTACAGTGATTGAGAGCTTTTCCAGATATAGTAGACTGGGCTGGCATCCATGGTCTCAGTGTTGGTAGAATATCTATCCAGGACCTTCTGGCTTTCAGAGTTTCCATGGAGAAGTCAGGTGTAATTCTGATAGGTTTGCCTTTATATGTTACTTGGCCTTTTTCCTTAGGTGCTCTTAATATTCTTTCTTTATTCTGTATATTTGGGATCTTGATTATTCTGTGGCGAGGGGTCTTTTTTTGTGGTACACTCTATTTGGTGTTCTGTAAGCTTCATGTGCCTCCATTGGCATGTCTTTCTTTAGGTTGGGAAAGTTTTCTTCTATGATTTTGTTGAATATATTTTCTGCCCTTTAAGGTGGTTTTCTTTACCTTCTTCTATACCTATTATTCTTAGATTTGGTCTTTCATGGTGTCCCATATTTCCTGGATGTTTTGTGTTAGGTATTTGTTGTGCTTAAGATTTTCTTTGATCGATGAATCATTTTCTCCTAGTGTGTCTTCAACACCTGAGATTCTCTCTTCCATCTCTTGTATTCTGTTGATTATGCTTGCATCTGTACCGTTTGCCCAGCTTTTGCATTTCCAGCCTTCATTCAGATTGTGTTTTTTTTTGTTGTGTCTATTTCGGTTTTCAATCCTTGCACTGTTTGAAATGTTTCTTGCAGTTTTTGCTTTGTCTTTTCATCCACTTGATGCATTTTTTGAATTTTTGCTTTGGTTTTTCTTCCATTTCTTGCATTTTTAGTTTGTTTGTTTCTTCCATTTCTTGTATTTTTTGTTTTGTTTTTCTTCCTTTTCTTTGAGGGATTTTCCTATGTCCTCCTTTAGGGCCGCTATCATTTTCGTGAGGTTGTTTTCAAGGTCATTCTCTTCTGCTTCATTTGCATTGGATCGTTGGAGTTTTGCTGGTGTGGAGTCTCTAGAATCTGGCCATGTCATATTTGTTTTTCTGTTGCTGAGTGTGTTTTTGTATTGTCTCTTTCTCATCTCTTCTTCTGGTGGGTGCAGAAAGAGCCCCTTACTGGTCTGGTAGTTAGGGGACCAGAGTTCCCTTTTGGTGGGTGCAAGCAAGTCCAATACTCTGTTAGTTCTCCTCTTCCTGGTCCCTAGTCCTGGTCCCATGGGTGGATAAGAAGACCGGGAATCTGGGGTGGGTAAATTCCCACTATTGGTCTGCAGGCACTGGTCCCCTGGTCCAGTTAGAAGACCAGGAATCTAGGGTGCATGCCTCTGGTCAGGAGGGGAGGCTCTATAGCAGTTCCCAGGCAGTCACCAGGCACTGGAAGGCAGGCCAGGTTACAGGGTCTGGTTTACCTGGTCCTCTGGTCCTGTTGGTAGAAGAGAAGGCCAGGTATCTGGGGTGCGTGGTTCTAGCCGGGAGGGGAGGCTCTGTAGCAGTCCCCAGGCACTGGAAGGCAGGCCCAGATACAGGGCCAGTTTACCTGGTCCCCTGGTCCTGTTGGTGGAAGAGAAGTCCAGGTACCTGGGGTGCGTGGCTTCTGCCAGGAGGGGAGGCTCTGTAGCAGTCCCCAGACACTGCCTATTTTAATTCTTATGGATTACTTTATACCCTTCATTTGAACTACATTCAAGAGAGTGAAAAAATGACACATATAAATAGGGAATGAGTAGAAGGAGCTGGAAAGGTTGAATCTGGTGAAATCAAGGTTCAATGGGGTCATGGTGTCTATTTTGAACATCTGATTGCTAGGGAAATACCAACTGGTAATGTGAACTAGAGCCTATAGAAAGGCAACTAGACAAATGGAGATGCTTTCTAACAGATTATTTCAAAGACAAAATGGATTTCCTAGAGATTTAGTGTGATGCAGTATAAGCTGATACATTATTTTGAAGGTGCTATGACTGGATAAGTAGTTAAGTCTATAGCATTTATGTTGTTCCCTACTAACACATAGGTAGGGGGATTCAAATTCCCTCATTGTTTAACTATGTGTTAAGGTACAGGAAAAAACATTACTAGTTGACAGTTACTTTTCCTCTCTCCTCACATTCCAGCATAATATGCTACTTTAATATTATAGTCACCTTGATCGTCAAGGTATTTATTTTAATAGCTTTCAACAACATTATTCAAAGAGAATCTGTTTCCCAATAAGGTAGGGAATATCCTCAGCATTCTCTTCCTTTTCAAACCTCAAAGACTCTAGCATTGAAGATATGCTTTGAAATTAAAATCATTGTAAATCCGCTGAGTCAGACAGTACCAAGTAAGTATTCTTGGAATAAATAGACAAGAATGTTTTAACTTAGCCTAATGCAGAAAAAAATTTTTCTTCTCTAATGTTCATTAAAACGGCATAGACAATATTTTATAATAATCTCTAATTTCAAACAATACACACATACATACACACACACACACACACATACACACATACACACTCCTGTGCATAAGCTGATAAAGTTGTTGTGGAGACTAAGCTACTATTTCAGACACTGTCCTCAACTACAATCCATCTTATGAGTTATTATAAATCATGGGAGGATATTATATATATGAAAAAAATAGACAAGGTTAAAATATAAAGGAATAGTCTATTGGGGGAATTTATCAGCCTTGGACCTTGCACTAATGGGATAATCTTCAAATCATGACACACTCTATTGCATTAAAAATGAAGTTACTTTAATGACCAATACCTATTTCTTATAATACAAAATAACATTTAAATAAATGTCTTTTGTGTATAGGTACTGTATTGAGGCCTTCTCATTTGTTATCTTCTTTTATATTTGTAAAACGCTGAAGAGCTGGTAATACTTTCTCCAATCCACATATCAAAAACCAGCACTTGAGAACACCTTGCTCAGGCTATATTTGATATTAAAGGAAGGTAAAGAAACCAAATTTGACTCAAGAGTTTGATTTAGTCATCCATCTATGACTCTTCTTATGTAACACTGGTTGTCCCTTTGTGATTTGTCATTGTCCGACATTCTAAATTTTAAAGAAAGCTGCACTTAAATGAAGATGATGTTAACTGCTAAATGATCTTTAGATTTACAAAACTCAGAACAGCTGGAAGCCCTCACACAAAATCAAGATGTGTTCTTTTTCATTTAAGTTCTGTGCATCAGCAAACAAAAAGCATGCCAATTGCTGTGAGAATTAACTCTCAGGCCAGTTGTATTAATTAATAAAATACAAAAACTAGCCCAGGAGGTCAGCATCAATTATCAACTTCTAGAGTGGGAGTCACACACTCAGGGATGGGGAGTTGTTTTGGATACTAAAGCGCCTCAGAGGACAGAACTTCTTTCCTGTTGTCCCCTGCTCTTCCCTTTCCTCTCCATACAAGTCCATTTCTTCCCATACCTGAGTTATCTAAGAACTTTATTCATCTAGCAACAAATAGCCATTTTCTCAGGTGCTAGCCCTTAAATAAACCTGATTTTCTTCTGCCAGATTTCACCACAGAGTACAGGCTTTTGAACCAAGTGTTGATGGACATGAGCCCACTAACATCTTTATGTGCATAATGCTAATATGATTGTTTTATTTGTTCCAGGTTTATGCAGAAAATAAAAGTAATAGGTTCTTTTTACTGGAGTCCAGTGATTTCCCTTCTATTGAAGATTCAGCTTATCTCGCAAGCATGGAAGGTTACACTCACCTCGCTTGTGAAGGAGAACACTGGCATGCCGACGTCCATTTCCATTTTCAACATAACAGGAATAATTCCCCAGGTCACCTTCTTCCACAGAGTCAACAATTAATGAGATAGAAACTTCCTGTTCTCCAAGATGTTCCTTAAGAATTCTAAAACATAAAGGAAAACGCAACAAAAACCCCACACAAACATACACATACACATACATGAAAAAGAAAGAAATGTAGATGAATCTGAATCTGATGAGAATATACCTACAGAGTTTGTGCTTCAAATCTGGCTATGAATTGATGCTAAGTTAATTACATGGTAACATGCCCTTTTCTTCTTCACTTCTAATGAAGAAGCTTGTCTTTGGAGATGCTAATGAACTTGCAGTTAATTATCTCTCATAGCAGGACCATCATGCTGTCATAATAAAGAGGTGAAAGAGACCTTGAAGGAAAGTTTACAAATTGTTTTTCCTTTAAGAAGAAATATGATATAAAATGAGATAAGATATTTTAAAATGTTAGGCTGGATGCATAATTATGTATCAGATTATTTATAAAAAGAGTAAGAAAGAAAGAGGACATTTCTAAGTTATTTTGACTTATCTGTTGAAACCTCCAGCGACTTACTTTTCCTAATGATATAAACTAGCTGCAAAGTTTTAAAGAAATATGAAACCATAAAACCAGAGGCTAAAAGTTCTGATGGGTATTTAATTCTGACTCTTAAAATTAATGATAAATGCTCACCAATATCATTGTTAAATATTTTAGTAATCTCTCAGTACAAATGGAAACTTTCTTAAACTAGGTGGCCTTTTTCCTACTCTCAGTATTCCTAGTTCCAAAACATTGCCTGGATGGATGTGTATGTATATACATATGATGTATACATTATTAGATACATAACTTTCTCGAAATTTTTTGTCATCTCAATACAGTCAAAGTTACACTGTTTAGGTCTACAGAACTTGTATTGGTAAGTGATAAAAAGTGAAATTTTAAATATGAAAAATGGCAAAGAAAGATTTTCATCCATGTTGGAAAATTGCCCATTTGGATCTTCCAGAATCTAATTAGAGCAGTCCAGTGTGAGATATTGTATATTTGTTGCCAGAGAGAAGATCCCAATAGAAATGATCTCCTATGACAGCTTTATATATTTCTGCTTCTTACTGAAAAACATTTCTCTTATATCTTTGCTAAAGTTTTAAAAGTCTTGACATTTAAAAAGAAGAACCATCACTTAAATCCTTATATTCAGTCGGAATATCCGACCTCTATATGGAAGAATATTTAACAAATATTCATCATTTGTATTTGGAGATAACTTAGTTGTCATTATGAAAGTCCTTGATCATTTGCATTATGATTAGAACTATGTCTTCTTGTCCAAATAAAATTTGCTTCATCAATGAATACTAAATATAAGTAAATAAATATGTAAGTATATTTGAAAAACAGAAATATAAACACTATGCCCTCAAAATAGATAGATAAAAATTTAAAGATTTGTTCTCCTATTGTTATTTCCTCTTTACAAATATTTAAACCTTAAAGTTAGAGTAGGAAAGATAACAAAAAATGCATGTTTTCCATCAACCCATCAAACATTTTATATTCTACTTGGTAGCTTAAATATGTAAAACATTCAAGGAAAATATTAAGGTTGCATTTGAGTTCATGTAGTGCCTAGCTAAAGGTTCCTTTTAATATTTATTTCTACAGACAGTGTCTCACTCTAACCCAGGCTGCCACTGAATTTGTTGTGTGATCCAGGTTGGCCTTCAATTCACAGCAACTTTCTTGCCTGAGATTATTAAGCACTGTGATTACACACATTAGCCACCATACCTGGTCCTCTCAGTAACTTTTAAAAGATGCTTTGATAAATAAAAAGCACAATGATTTTCCTAAGGTTAGAATTGGCTTCAATATTTTCCATTATTTTGGTTTTAGTGTGTTACTAGCGAAATGTTCGTTTGGAAATCATTCTTATGTGGAGAAGGAGGATATGTTTGTGAATATGATCAAAACATACTGCATGAAACCCCAAAGGATTAGTAAAAATATTTAAAAATAAAAGAATTACTCCTAATTTTTTTGCAAATGGTATTCACATTTGATAGTTTCATAGTCAGTCTGAAAAATTCTTTGACACAGTATTACAGTATTTCTGCTGTGATAATAGAAACATAAAATGATTAAAAATATTTTTTGTTTTAGCTCACTCTCTCCCAACTTAGCAGGGCAAATGTTAACTCAACTACCCTTGTTTAACAGAAGAAAAATGATTTTACCTAATATCACTTTCCCAAACTCTATTTTCATCCAGATCTTCAATAAACTTCTCTCCTTTCATCCAGTAAATCAAAGGACTGACATCTCCACTGTACCCGAAGAAAGCTCTGCAGGTGAGGTTGGCTGAGTCACCTGTGCAGGAAAAGGATGGAAACACAACAGAAAACCGTTTGTATCTGCATATTTAAAACAATTTGACCAGTGTGAATTGCATCATTCCAATGATTTGAAATAGCTAAGAGAATAATTGTTCAAGCATTTTCCACTTTTGTTAAGTTTATCAAATGTATCATTTTTGACAGTATGTTTATTTAATGGAATCAGAGTTACTTATGAGGTTTAGAAGAGGATTAGTCATCTTATAGGCCTCATGATGTTTCCTTATGACTAGATTGATAGATTGAGAGTTTATTAATTATTGGGAAGAACCACAGAAGGAATATGTTCTTCTCAAGGCATTCCATCACAGGATACATGGAGAAACAAAGCAGAATCTTTTCTGGGAGGAAAAGTAACTATAACTCATAGGTCAAGAAAGTGCTGCTAAGAGACTTTGAATCCATAAGAAATAACATTTTCTTAGCAAAGTAACCATATTAGGTAGAAAATTATATTAAAATAAATAAATTCATGGTAATAAATATTTGGGATTTTCATTGAGATAGATCAAGAATATTTATGATAGAGATGGAGTTTTGTTTTGTTTTTTTCAGTATTTTACTTACTATACTTAGATCTTTTCTTATGTATAATGGCAGATACAGGTTAGTTGGCCACTTTAATAAGGTAGACATAAGTTCTTGACTAAAACGTACAAGTGAATCTAATGACTCCATAATGCTAAATTTATTCTTTGCCATTTACAACACTTTTATTTACATCGCACAACAGAAAGAGTCTAGCTCTAACTAGTTATATGAATTTCCTGGATTCAAGTAGAACCAGAAAGTAAGAGTTACATATGAGTCCAGTAAGAGACTACCCTGGTAACATAAATATAAGAGAACAGTTAGTCATGGTTGTCAAATGAAGAACTGAAATGTATGCCCCATTGACATGTCTGCTGACATCTAGAGTAAACTAACTCTCTCAATTCGATGTGACAATACATTATGATAATAATCTGTCTGACTCTGAGTGCCAATACAGTAGTTCCAAAATACTGGATGCTTTATAACCAAGCTATGAGTAGTAGTGGCAATTTTGAAAATTTGTATATAGGACTTCTACAGGATAAACAGAGAGGAAAGTACAATGTACTACACTCCCCTCTTTTAAAGAGCAGGGCACTTTGTGCACTGGGTTCTACACTTTCATTAACAAAAATATTTTTGTGGGCTAAAATAACTGTCATTATTTGGTTTTTGTCAGTTGTGCAAGAAAAAATTCATAACACCTTTTCTAATATTTTAAGATGTAACAGTCTTTTGTACTTGCTCATTTTTAAACATTTTCTGCTAGATTTCTAAACATCCTGATCAGGCAAGTCCATACAATAGCTATAAGCTTTTCAGAGTAAAAACCGAAACGCCTGCCAAGCTAAGTGGCATAGCCCTGTAATCTCAGTTATTGATGAGTAGAGGTAATTGAACCCCAAGTCTGAGGCCAGCCTAGATTGTATTGTTCATTCCTGGACAGCCTTGCCTACTATATAAGAAGGCCCTGACTTTAAAGGGCTGATACTGGAGAATAGTTGTGTAGCATGTTTCAGGTCCGGGGTTTGACCATCAACAATGAAAAAAGGAAAAGAAGCTTACTATTGCTTTTTTGTACACAAACTTTCTTATATGGTTTAATATTGAATTCACTTTTAGGGAACATTTATATTATAAAAGATAACTGGGCATCAACATTCTTAACGGCCATTCCAGTATATATTTCTATAGAATGTATTACATAATGCTAATTTTAAATGAAGTATTCTTTGCAGTTTTTGGGACAAGTCTTTCCTATGCAGACCAGGCTGGTTTTAAAGCTAGGACCATCCTACCTCAGCTTTCCAAGTGGTGGAATTACAGGTGTGTGCACATTTACACCTGGATGTACATTTAAGATTTTAGTAGTTATTTTTTTTGTACCTGAAATGCCTGTTACCATGCCAATGTAGAGATAATTCACTAACACATCTCAAACAGAATCAATATACATAACTTAAAAGGCACATACCAATAATGTACATAATCTGCTATCTGAAGGATCAAATTTAAGTTTTGAGGGAAGATTCAATGCCTCCAAGTAATAAAAGAAAATCTCCACAGATTGCCTAGCTTTACAGTACAGTTTTGTTAAAGACACATAGACTGTATCATGAATAATTGAGCTTGACATTCCTTAGCTGAGGCTGACTGAAGTTCTGACAGTGACCTGAAATATTCCTTCACATTACTCCTTTACTCCAACAGACAGAGGAACTCTAGATCCCTAACTGTCACTTCCATTATCTTCAAGCTTTCTGTTGTTCCATCTAGGAAATGGCTCCATCACTCATGCAATGCTTTCTTTCTCATTGTGTTTTACCTGACATTTGACCTTTAACTCCAGCTCCAAGATTGCTTTTATCTGCATTGCTATAAGAGTAGGAGAATTCCATCTAAAATAGTAGATTAGTGAAATTCAAGGAAAGAATATAAGAGGATGAATGGCAGAGAAGAAAGAACATCAAAGTGAGTAACTGAAGAAATTTGGAGAAAATAAAATGACTTCCCCACATGGGAAGATGAGGTGTACATGGAACATGGATGGAAGGGAACACATAGGTAGGTATGGAATATTGATAAGACCAGAACAGCAGCAGTTCTGTTCTTCTGTGTAAGCCATTCTGAACAACTGAGCATTTCATTTGAGAAAAAAATGTCAAGCTGGGGATAGGTTTTGAACAGCATCTGAAAAGAAATCTCATCTGTCATGCAAAAATCCAACTCTCATTGCATTTTTAAACTTGGAGTTGAAACAGATAGGATCAAGGAGGATTAGGAATATAGTATAGTGCTCTGGCATTACTTAACAAGTCATCACTGCAAGTATCAGATTATTAATACATAATTGTTTCCAAGGATAAATAGTACATAGAAGCAATGACTATAGAATGTTATGCTTAGTACATATGTGTTACCAGGAGATATCTCAAAGCAGAGTTTAATAGGAAGCTTGAGAAACTAGAAGGAAAGCTTAGTGGTTAGGAGCACTGACTTATTCCAGAGGACCAGAGTTTGGTTCTCGGCACAGCACCTACATGGAAGTTCACAACCATCTGTGACACCGGTTCTACAGGGATTGACTCTGCTTTCTAGTTTCTGTGGGCATTGCACACACGTGGTGCACAGACATACATGCATGTAACACACACACATTCTCTCTCCCTCCTCCCTCCCCCCCTCTCACTAACACACACACACACACACACACACACACACACACACGAGAGAGAGAGAGAGAGAAATGGAGAGAGAGAGAGAGGAGAGAGAGAGAAATGGAGAGAGAGAGACAGACAGAGAGAGATAAACAAATCTCAAAACTTAAAAATTTAAAGCAGGTAGTTTGACAAAATAGATAAAAATACAGTTTTATTAGTATAATTTATATGTGTCACAGTGATGTTTGTATGATAATGAGAGAGTGAGAAAGTGGGAGACACAGGAGGAGAAAAAGAGGAAGAGAGCAGAAGAAGGAGGAGTAAAAGGGAAAGGAAAGGATATAAAAAGAGGAAGAAATTGGTAAACTAATTTTGAAGTGCTACCTACCAGCTCTTTCTCAATATAGGCCATAGGGAAAGACCATTTAATGATCTGTGCTGTTTCGTAAAGAGAGTTTTCAGTAGTTTCTCTGAATTGTATCCACTTGTGTTGCTGAGCAAAAGGCTCCAGTCCTCATCTTGTGCATAGCTCTGCTAGTAGGGAAGACCCACAGAGGCCAGTGGAAACTCTCTTCAGGGAAGAGCAGTAAAGTCCAGTTCACATAGGAAATTCTACCCAATGGCTAATGAGAAAAACTCAGTGACTTTGGCACTTTTCCTTTGGAAAATGGTGACTAGGCAAATGTATGACAGCTCTGACCTTGGATCCTAAGTGTGTTGTTTGAAATTAGAAATGATGGATTATTATCCTTTTCCATCAAACTGAGTAAGAATCACATTTGACAGAAATCTGAAGAAGACAATGCATTTCGATCCATTAGTGGCAAATATTACAAATATATATTGATTGAGAAAGACAAATGGTAATTTGGCAAACAAAGGTGATGTGACTGTTTATACCCTAGCCTAATAAAATCACCTAATAGGTTTAAAACATCTATCTTCTAAGAATAGCCATTCATTATGAATTCCATACCCTTATGCTATGTAACAGCATACATAATTGTGGGATTCTTTTCATTTCCATTTAGTCCATTGCTCACACTTTGAATTCCAATATATTGTCCTACCTTTCAGAAAAATACTCAGCGACCTGTACTTTTTTCCAAAATACTTCTTAGAATATATTTGTTTTATATAATATACAGTGACTAAACTGTTTGCCTGTCTGCCCAGCAACTAGAGTGAACCATTCCTTAATGTAGAGATTATAGCTTTATTTACCTTTGTATTAGCAAAATATATTCCAGTGTCTTGAATACATTGGAAACCCAATAAGCAATGACAAATTGTTAATATTCTTAATAGCTTTTAAATTTGTACTTGATGTCAATTCCTCTTTCATTTTTGAGAAAAGAGCTTTTTCTGTGTAATTCAGGTTTGCCTAGAACTCAGTATGTATTACAAACTGCTCTAGAACTCCTGTTTCTCATTTCTCAGCTTCCCAAGTATTGGGACTATAGCCGTGTACTACTATACCCAACCTCTTGTTTTCTTTTGTAAAATTTTACTGCATCATTATTTTAAGGCTACATGTCCATATATCTCAAAAGGCCAAATCTATCTTATAAAATAGCTTTCACATTGCAAATGTAGAGCCTTCTAATTCAGATGATTTCTTCACAATATGTTGAGGTGACTCATCAGTTGACATGAGTTTATATCCACATGGTCTTAAATTTTATAAGCAGGCTGATAAACATAGCAATTAAAAGTTAAATTATAGAAACACTACTAGTTGACTAAATCAGAAGTAATAGATGCTAAATATTTGTATTTA